TTTTTGCTGTGAAATATTACAATAGTATTTTTTCATTGTAATATTGTAGTGGTAGTATTTAGTTTTTAAATGTTTTTTGTATTTTTATTTAATAGATACAATGCTACTATTACTGCTGAACAAATCATTATTTATTAATATTATTTTATTGCCAAACTGATATAGAATCACAACATTTTGGCCAGTTTTGTTTTTGTTTTTTAAATCTGCTAATTTTTATTTAAATCACATTTTAATAAAAAAATGCAATTTATTTATTTTGTCTTACCAAATCATACAGCTCTAGTGTTCTGGTATGCTGCTGTAGTTTTTTGCAAACCGGATTGCTTTACAAAGTTTGTGTAAAAACTTGCAAATATCTCTGTCTCTTGACATTATCAGTATTTCAAAAACATTGTAATACTTGAGTATAATTAAACGTGAAAACTTAATTTGAGAAACATTTTCACACAGTAACCAACCATACCTTAATTTCCAATATATAGTATTTTTTAGATGAAATAGATTAGATAAGGATATAGAAGAAAGCATGGCCATACTGTCAGGGTGGGATGTCCTGGGATGGCTGGAGTATCTGGGGAGTTTGGGAGTGTTTTGGTGAGATGACAAGGGTACTGAAGACATCTGATGCGACACAGGAACCCTGAACCTGAGAGATCAGATGCTTTTACAGTAATAAACCATATATTTGTATTAAACATAGGCAGCATAGGCATGGTGCATTTTAAAGAAGTACAGTAGTTCAGTCAAAAATGGAAATTGTCATCATTTTACTCATATAATCAAAATGCTTATCTAATAGTATGCTAACCCTACTGTTATGTAGGCTTTGTTATTGTTTTTTGGTTCTTGACAGCAGTCCACTTTCACTGAAAGGAAGTCAAATCAAGTCACCTTTTTTTCTACAGTGCTTTATACAGTACAGACTGATTCAAAGCAGCTTCACAGCAATGTGTTAATAATGCAAACCTTATTAATGTAAAAAGTTGCCGTAAAGCAGCTCTATGGAAGACAATAGTGTCAATATTCAGATCAATTTGATTAAGTGTTGTTTCAGTTCGGTTCAAAAGCAGTGTCAATGTTGCAACATTCATCAATTATGAAACTAATTCACTTGACAAGGAACCCAGACTTGATTAGGTGACAGAAATGGAAAAAAAACATGTGAGAAACCAGGCTTAGTTGTTGAACTGGCCTAAATGAACGAACGCTGTGTGATTTATGATTCTAGACTGCATCTCAAGTCAGATTTGTGGACTGATACTATTTTTGCATCCAGCTCTGAAATAACAGCATGAACGTTTCATTTGAACAAGTATGGGTTGACAACGAGCAATTCTGCATGAATTGTACCTTTAAAGGTCATGAAATGCATTTAATAAATGTTATTTTATAATGTTTCTTGAGGTGCACTTATAATTTCAGTATGTTTTTTTTTTCCATCAAAAACATTCATAGCTTAGATATGAGTGGTCATTTTCTACCCTGAATTAGCCTCTGAGTTGAAGGCTCTATTGGACGGGGTTTGCCTGCTGTCAGACTTCAAATTAAATGCTGTGATTGGATAAGATCTTAGCATATAATATGACCATTACATGTGGAACTCTCTGAAAACTTTTACTGCCAAGATGAACCAGTGATTCATTTGGAGCTCAAGTTGAGTCTGCGCAGTAGTGATTCGTTTGGAGCTGAAGTCTGCGCAGTAGTGATTCGTTTGGAGCTGAAGTCTGCGCAGTAGTGATTCGTTTGGAGCTGAAGTCTGCGCAGTACTGATTCGTTTGGAGCTGAAGTCTGCGCAGTACTGATTCGTTTGGAGCTGAAGTCTGCACAGTACTGATTCGTTTGGAGCTGAAGTCTGCGCAGTACTGATTCGTTTGGAGCCCGAGTCTGTGCAGCAGTGATTCATTTGGAGCTTAAAGGATTAGTTCACCCAAAAATTTTAATTCTGTTATTAATTAATCACACGTAAGACCTTTGTTTGTACCGTCTTCCATGATTTTGGAGAGTACCCCAGAATGTAATCAGCATTATTTATGTTCAGTAGACAGCGTGCGCATGCTGAACGTAAACAATGCTGATTACGTTGATTACGTTCAGTGGATAATCTCCAAAATGCTGGAAGACGGTAACTTGTAGACGGTAAACGGGGAGAAGAAATGCAGAATAAATAATGTTATTATTGTTTTCTTTGCACACAAAAAGTATTCTCACTGCTTTGTAAGATTACGTTTGAACCCCTGATGTCACATGGACTATTTTACTGATGTCCATGCTATGTTTCTGTACCTGGGAACATTGCAGTTGTGTTGCTGTCTACAGAGGGTAAGAGTGCTCTCGGATTTAATAAAAAATGTCTTAATTTGTGTTCCGAAGATGAACGAAGGTCTTACGGGTTTGGAACAACATGTGGGTGAGTAATTAATGACAGAATTTTCATTTTTGGGTGAACTATCCCTTTAAACACTTAAAAAAAATTTTTATTAAATTTTTGCCACACTGAATTAAAGCAAGAACATTTTGCCTGAATCATACCTTTTAAGCATATTAATTCACAATTTCCAAATGTTTGATTTAGTTTCCACAGTTTCTAACAGGCGTCCGAAGCAGCATTGTGTTTATTCCTGGATGTAAAAAGTGCATCAGAACAGTGGCACAGGAACAGAGGAACCGCTTTTAACAGGGAGTCTGGAATCAGAGGTATTTCACAACTGATTAAGCACAAAGCGAGGTAATTACGCCGATCCCATTGCCTGGGTATTCCTTGCACTTTATGATTCCCTTATTGAATTTCTGCTGCTCTTCTGCTCGGTGGCTATAGTGTCGGCTAACATGGGACCAACGATGCACAGCAGGTCTCCATCCCACAAACCGATTGTCTTCCTTGGATCCTGCGGCGCATGGTGTGCCCACCACCGGCGAGAAGCCTTGCGCATCTGCTTCCAGAAAGGCAGAAAAGGTTCCTCTCTGTGCCTTTGAAGTGGAGGAATGGGCGTCCAAAATATAAACCTCTTCCCAAACGCTCTTGCCACAGCAGACGTGCAAAACACACAAAAGCGTAGCGGAGCCTTTGACCAGAGAAAAGCCTGCTTTATTTGAATCAGTTTATAAAGCCATGACAACCAGGAACGCATTTGTCGACAACCAGACGCTTTTGAATCGGTCATAGCAATTCACGCCGCCAAGAGAAACTCAGAATGAATGTCAATTAGACAGTGATTCAGTTTGTGGCCACTTACTCAATTGAGGTTCGACCAAAAACATAGCGATAGGAAAAAAACATACGGCATTCAGCGGCCCGGCGCGGATTATTAGACTCGATTCATCAAGATTGAAAGGAGCATCACAGACACAGGCACATAGAAGTGATGCCAGCTTGGTGTCACGGCTAAACTGTCTTTCAGCCAGGGGTGGGCTAAGGGGGCTGAAGCCCCTAATGTTTTCAGTAAAGCCCCGAATGTTTTTACTATGCCCTGTATGAATCATCACTGAGTTTTCATGTGCATTAAAATAATTTCTATTAGTACTGCAGATTTGCTCTCGACAAGACCCGCCCACTGAGGCTTGTACTTCTGATTGACATGTAAACTGGCCAACTAGCGATAAAAAGTTACAGCAGCTGCTTCAAGTGTCTGAATAACTTATCGCTGTAATACGGATTTGGTTATTTTTAAAATTGGATTATTTGTTACTGAGCATTGTCACTCTGAAGGAACAAATATAGATATTTAATCATATAATTATATTCTCTAGAACACGGGGACGAGCGATTATATGAATGGTTTGGTTAGCATGGTCTCTTAGTGTCAGAGCAACAATTCAATGAACAAGAAATAAACAGCAAGTGATTCAAATTGCAGTGATTCAATATTGTCTTTTTTGCTCTATTTCACTAAAGAAAATGGTTCCAAACAAAATCATGTTGAGCGTCTCTGCAGCAACAGAACAGCGGTGTTTCCTGACTGAATGAATTTGCGTTTTTGAACAAATCGGGTGATTCAATGACTCACTGATCCATTCATGAATTCCTGAATGAATGAATCAGTCGTTTTGAAAGAATTGATTGACAAGGAGCTCCCAGCACCGGGCCCTGAGACAAGAACCAAGGTTTCCTCCACATGTCCAAGGTACGTAGGCATCGCAGCGTGACCCTGATCATGCAAAGCGGGTTTCCCCTCGGGGAGAACCCCCTGGTCTTGAGCCACCACTGTAGGGGTCTCATGTACAGCAGGCCAAGAGGTATCACGTTGGACGCAGCTGCCATCAGACCCAGCAGTCTCTGAAACTGTTTGACAGTGACTGACCGGCCTTCTCTAACTCTCGCGACTGCGGTGAGGATCGACTCGATCCAAGCAGGGGACATACGTGCCTGCATCGTGGTTGAATCCCACACCACGCCCACATAAGTGGTCCTCTGTAATGGAGAAAGCACACTTTTCTTGCCGTTTAGTCTTAACCCCAGCTCTCTCATGTGGGTGAGAATGACATCTCGATGTCGAACCACCGTCCGCTCTGATTGAGCTAAAATCAACCAATTGTCGATATAGTTCAGTATGCGGATGCCCCGGAGTCGCAGCGGAGCCAGAGGTGCATCCACACACTTCGTGAAAGTGCAGGGTGAGAGTGCAAGGCCGAAGGGAAGAACCCGATATTGGTATGCTTTTCCCCCAAAAGCAAACCTCAGGAACTTCCTGTGAGTGGGAAGGATGGATACATGGACGTATGCGTCTTTTAGATCGATCGTGACAAATGGATCGTGAGTCCACAGCATGCTCCGCTCCCAGGCAGACAATGCACAAACTGTGTGTATCCCACCCGTAATGTAACGCGGGCAGGGAGGAACACACAGCCTGAAACGCTGCCTGCTCTCGCCCTTAAGGTGTTTGGTCTTGTCTTGTGCTTTTGACATGATTTCGTGACAGACAACACTAAATAAGACTGACAAACAGATATCAGAATAACACACACACAGAGCGCTTGCTGAATGACAGAAAGCTGACGCCGGTTTCACCGCACGTGCTTTTAAGCTTTCTGGCCGCTACGTCACCCCGCCCGTGACGTCTCGCCCATCCATTGGACTGATTACACACGTGATTCAGAGTCAGTCACGCTGAAGGCGTTCCCAAAGCGTTCTCCGACGCAGCTCGAGTTCCTGAAGAGGAACCAGCATACATCAGCAGAGGGAAGATCCAGTTCTGACATTCTGATTAAACATTACGAGCTCAAATCACTTTTCAAAAACTCAACTTGCATGGATGAATTGTTCCCAAGATCAATGCATTTAGAAAACTAATAGGGTGAATTCATTTCATGCCGACTTTGGAGCAGTAATATCATAGCTGAAATCCTCCTGAATAACATCAAGTTATTTCCCACGCAATATTAGCAAAGTTAAATGCTGTGACTCATGCATGTCAAAACTGATCATGTTTTTCTACCTGTTGTTTCCCTGTACGGGCGGTAGCTGCATGTGGCTCTGAAGGGTCTGTGGATCGGATGGGATCTGCAGGGCGTTTGTCTGGTTCAGGGTGAACACTTGCACGTTGACATGAAGACAAAACAGAGAATCATCACTCTTGAGTCAAACAGTGGTAAGATTAGATGCCATTAGCCATCACTGCAATGAAAACTAACTAAATAACCAAAATATGCTGAAAGCTTCTTATGGCCTGTTTACATAGAATGCATCTTTGCATTACACTGCGCTGCTTTTCCAATGTTTTTCTATGTAAACATGCACTAGACGGATGTATTTGATCGCACCATTTGCATCTTTTACAGCATCTAAAATCACTGTTAGTTAATAGAATTTAATAATAATAATAAAAACGCATCTCTAGACAAGATACAAGTGAATAGGGTAAAAAAATTAACTAATAGATATCACCATACTCCCCCAATTTAAGGATTGCAAACATTTTTGTATCAGAAGAAATGTTGTTTAAATATGCAAATGAGGTTATATTTAATTAAAGATGCATTAATGTAATAAACTGAATATGGGATCAGTCCAGATTCAAAAATCTTGTTTGATTTTGTTATCATATTAGAGTTTTCCCTTAAAACAAGCACAAATATCTGCTAATGGGGCAAAAAAATAATCTTAATTTAAAGTCTAAACAAGATGATTTTTTTTGCCCCATTGGCAGATATTTTTGCTTGTTTTAAGCCAAAACTAACAAAATGTTATATAATAAAAAAAGAAAAGAAAACAAGATATAATATCTTAAGTCATTTCACTTGTACAGTAAATGCATCTTGATTCAAGAATGTTTAGATATTTATACTAGAACACAAGACAGAAATACTAAGTAAGAGAATAATTTTTTTGCAGTGTATATAGGAATAAAACTGTAAAGTTTGGTTAATGTAAGAGAAAGAACTCTTTAAAGACATGCATTGGAACTGAAATACTGACACAAATTTATAAAGTCCAATAAAATAAATACTCAAAAGTGTATTTAAGATGTTTTCTTTCCACTAGTCTGAAAGAAGACACATGATATGCAAGAAAAATGTTTCAGCCCCTTACACTGTTATTCTAATTTATATAAGTGTTAATTAGTGTTTGGTACCAGTGTAGAGATCGTTAGTGGGCGACTGGCGCTTGGTCTCAATCAGGTCCAGTGGTGCGAGGCTGTGAACCATCAAACACTCGGTGAGTCCGTCCTGACTGAGATCTGTGCTGCGTCTCAACTACATCACATCAAGCACAGTCACAAATCAAACCTTCAACAAAACTTAAATGCATTATAAAAATAGTATTAATGCATTCATTATGCCTTGTAATGCACTGTATTATCACATACACTCCCAGTCAAAAGTTTTTGAACAGTAAGATTTTTTATGTTTTTTTAAAGAAGTCTCTTCTGCTCAGCAAGCCTGCATTTATTTGATCCGAAATACAGCAAAAGCAGTAATATTGTGAAATATTTTTACTATTTAAAATAACTGCTTTCTATGTGAATATATTTTAAAATGTAATTTATTTCCGTGATCAAAGCTGAATTTTCAGCGTATTTTAAATATTAAAAGTATTTCATAATATTACTGCGTTTGCTGTATTTCTGATCAAAGAAATGCAGCTTGGTGAGCAAAAAAAATTGTATAAAATATATATATATATATATATATAATGCATTTTAACTTTGGTTACAATTATTTTTGAAATGATATAATGCATTAAAACATACATTATGAATACCTTTATAAAGCATTATACATAAATGCTTTAAATGTTAGCGATTTTATCAATGAGATAAAAGTACAGCGTAGAATTGATTATTTTTGAAGCTGTAAATAGATTATTAGAGTACATTTTACAAGAAAATACTATTTCAGTCTTTCTACCTAAAAATCTTACATTTAATTCTGTGTTACTTGCCCGTTCCATGTTTTTATTTTTTATGAAATTGAAATAAACAAATGTAATTGTTTCTAAACAAATCCTGTTTTTTGTGCTCCAGGTAGGATATAGAACTGAAAGTAAATTCTATGCTAAAACTAAAAGTGTGAATATCTATTTTGCAGCTTAGAGTATTTAAGAAACAAATCATGAGAATTATATATTTGAAATGACATCTAATTCACAATAAGACCAAAAAAGCAAAAGCTGTCCAATTTGATTTCATGTTGACTTAAGGACTGCATTTACTTTCCAAATGATATTAAAGCAAATAGATGACAACAAGTGGAGATAATGTCTCGGATAATTGGCTCCTAATCTTTTGCTTAATTGAGCTGAATGTACAGTAATTAATCATGAGCATATGGTTTAATATCGCAGCGTTTGGAGCTCTCGACCTGCGTTATTATATTTAGCGTGTCTAAGAATACAGTACATTCTGAGTAATTCATAATAATCACAGCTGATTTTTTCTCTCCCAGAAACGTCTACCTGAGGAATCTGTATCTATGGTGACGTGACCTTTATTTGGTTCCTCCGTGATAATGAACGGCTCCGACACAAGCCTGCTAACAAGTTACAAGTTTAGAGGCTTCGTTATCAACGCCCCTCTTGACAAATGCTATGCATTTTGTCGCAAACTCACAACTCTCTGTGTTCGTTCACTGTGAGACAATGCATGTGTTGTACAATCATAGTTCACACAAAAACCTTCATGTCTTTCCAAACCTGAGACAAAAGCATCATTTTTAAAGTCTTTGTTTACATATAAAGATTTGAAAACTCCAAAAAATACCATTAAAAAAAGAGAGCCTACTGCTTGAAAGAAGTCTCTTCTGCTCAGCAAGGCTGCATTTATTTGATCAAAAATACAGTAAAAATAGCCAAATATTATTATGATTTAAAACAGCTGTTTTCTATGAGAATATCTGTTGAACTGTAATTTATTTCTGTGATTTTCAGCATCATTACTGCAGTCTTCAGTGTCACATGATCTTCAGAAATCAGTATAATATGCTGATCTGCTGCTCGAGAAACATTTCTGATTATTAGCAATGTTGAACACAGTCGTGCTGCACAATATTTTTGTGGAAACTGGTGCATTTTATTTTTCAGGATTCACAGATGAACAGAAAGAGCAGCATTTATGTGAAATAGAAATCTCGGTAACACTTTCTGTGAAGCCCATATTTATAACACATCATAAGGGTATTCTTAAGGCATTATAATGAATGCATAATGCATTATAAAAACCCTTTTAATATGATATATCATCTTATGAATATTCATAAGAACAGTTTTAATGTTTTATAATATTTACTTATGGTTATAGCTTTTAAGAGTATGATGATTTATAACACACAGTGAACCTGTTGCATCCACTTAAGTTACAATGGATTATATTTCTCATAGTTATAATGTATTATAAGTCTCATATCTTGCCATGTTTCTTATGCTACTTTACTTAAAGCCATCAAAGACCACTTAAGTATAGTAATAATAATAATAATATTTTTTCTCAAACAGCCATAAGATCAGATATCAGATCAGATGAATGTGTAATAAGACATATTTGCTTTGAACTATTTTTATTGTAATATCAGATTATTTTGACGGTTCCCCAACAGACAAACTGACTATAAAGTAACTTCGCAAGTACGTCTACATTCATTCAACAGCACTAACCTTAACCTAAGCCTACTAATACTCTAATGAGACTTAGTTGACATGTAGTTGACTTATAGAATAGGGGGACCATGAAAATAAAATGTAACCTAACATATAAACATTGCATATTTTTTTTCAGTTTAAATGATTAACTAGCTCACATCAAAATTAATATTAGCCTCAGCGGGAACACTCAAATAACACTCCACACCTAACCACTTAGTGCAGATCTTAAATAAACAAAGTCAAGATATATAGTCCATTATAAATGTAAAAATAGATTTTATATGGTGTTCATTGTGTGTTATAAATAATCATAATCTTAAAACTTATAACCACAAATGCGTAAGCATTATAATGTATTATAATTGTTGTTATGATTATTTATAAGATGATATAACATATTATAAGGTCTTTTATAATGCATTATGCATTCATTATAATGCCTTAAGAATACCCTTATAATGTGTTATAAATATGGGCTTCATAGAAAGTGTTACCGAAATCTTTTGTAACATTATAAATGTCTTTACTGTCACTTTACCTCTTTTTTTTTACTTATCACAACTTATGGTTGTGTATTACTGTTTTCAACATTGATAATAATCAGAAATGTTTCTCGAGCAGCAGATCAGCATATTATACTGATTTCTGAAGATCATGTGACACTGAAGACTGGAGGAATGATGCTGAAAATACAGCTGCGCATCACAGAAATACATTACAGCTTAACAGAGATTCACATAGAAAACACTTATTTCAAATTGTAATAATATTTCACAAATTTGTATTGCATTTTTGAATAAATGCAGCCTCGGTGAGCAGAAGAGACGTCTTTAAACAATCTTAATTGTTCCAAACTTTTGACCGTTAGTGCACCTTCTGAAGTCAAATAATAGAAAATAAAGTGAATTTAAATGTTCCTTTTTGTGGTGCATGAAAAAACAGATCAGCATCAGAGTTTAGAAAGACGAGGATGAATAACTGATAGCAGAACTAAGACTTTCTCCTTCTGCTTTAGTCGGATCAGATGATTCTCATACCTTCTTCCGGGCTTGTTGCTCCTTTAAGGAGTGTGATTTGAGGTGTTTGCGCAGAGAGCTGGGGTCTGTGTAGCGTTTTGCGCAGCCCTGGATCTGACAAGCGTAGGGTTTCTGCAGAAACACAACCTGTTAGTGCACACGTCTGTGACTCTTGTTTGCAGGTGTGTTGCGTGCAGTGTTGGGAGTTACGTAATCAGATTACTTTTTTTCAAGTAACTTAACGCATTACTTTTTAATTTACAAGAGAATATCTGAGTTACTTTTTCAAATAAGTAACGCAAGTTACTTTTTTTTCAATTGATTGACTGACAGCTCTGGTGTCCCCGTGTTGAGAGAAATCAGAAGATGTTACTGTAGTTCTAAAATAAATATGAATATGCATTAATTCATATCACTCACAAAAAGAAACCCACACAGATTCAGTATTCCTCAAAATGAATAAAAATAATGCAACTCAGAATATGACGCAAACCTGCAATAATTAAATGTTAAACAACACAAATATGCTTTATGTATTTAATCCCATTCTATTAGCTTCTGAGCTTCGATGATGCAGTTCAAGCGTACTAATAAGCACACATTACTCTAGACGAACGTCTGTGTGTTCACAAATGTCTTCTTCTGCATTCTACTGTACTTTCCCTTCAGCCTGAGGCTTATTCATTTCACTTTTGGTGTGAAAAGGCTTTTATATTTGCCAAAAATAGAACTTTTTTATTTTTAAAAACAAACAAGCAAGCCCAGTCCAGATTTAAAAAGTAACACAAAAAGTAACGTAACGCATTACTTTCCATACAAAGTAACTAAGTACCGTAATTAGCTACTTTTTTATGGAGTAACGCAACGTTGTAATGCATTACTTTTAAAAGTAACTTTCCCCAACACTGAAAATAGAACTTTTTTATTTTAAAAATAAACAAGCAAGCCCAGTCCAGATTTAAGAAGTAACACAAAAAGTGACGTAACGCATTACTTTCCATAAAAAGTAACTAAGTAACGTAATTAGTTACTTTTTTATGGAGTAACGCAACATTGTAATGCATTACTTTTAAAAGTAACTTTCCCCAGCACTGGTTGCGTGGGAGTTGATAAAGTGTGTAAAATAAGGTTTTCGGGCTCCACTCACTGTGTCGACGTGTGTTCGCTGGTGTTTGGCTCGATCGCTGGAGTTGCTGAAGGCTTTCTGACAGCCGGGATGCTGACATACATAGGGTTTCTCGCCTGTGTGGCTCCTCAGATGGATTTTTAGGTTCTCCAGACGGGAAAACGCCTTCTGACAGCCCTCAAACTGAAGTTAGAATAAAGATATGATACAATAAAAAGGTTAGATGTGTCACATTGAACAGCTGAAACTTCTCTCTGTTTAGTTTACACTGCAAAAAATGATTCTCTTACTTAGTATTTTTGTCTTGTTTACTAGTATAAATATCTTGAATCAAGATGCATTTACTGTACAAGTAAAATTATTTAAGATATTGTCTTGTTTTAAACAACAAAACAACAAAAAATACTAACCTTGACAAAAAGTAGTCTTTGAGAATGCCTTAGTATACATTTAAATCCACAACCTAATACAAGTAAATCATTATGTATAAAAACAATTAGGGAATTCACAAGCCTCTCTATAGAGTCCTAAACAGGAATCTAGTGGTTACACCATGAAATTACAGGTTTTTCTTTTTTTGCTCTCACCAGGAGGTGCTATTCTGCCTTCAAAAATTAGATTTTAATGGCCTAGTCTCTATTTGAATCTGAAATACTGCAGTAATAATAAAAATAATTTAAAAAAATTAGAAAAACATTTTTTGTACTATTTTCAGTGGGAAAAATGTATCATAATTATTGCATAAATATGAATTAGTATCATAAAATTCTCTCAAAATACAAAAGAAAAAATATTATTGAACAAAAATATATTAGATTGATTTTAATGAAGAAGAAAAAAAGTTACATTTCAGGTGTCCGGTCACTTTTGACCGCGAAGACCATGAGTGCGATACTAGAAAACAAGACAAAAATACTAAGTAAGAGGATCATATTTTGCAGTGTAGTTTATTTGTTTACAGGGGCAATGCACATTAATAAACATGGCTGTAAATGTGCCAGAATTACCCAAAGAGGCTATTTTTCATCTGAAGACCCTTGACAGAATGTTAAAAAGTCACCCTAAAAACAAAACAGAGCATTTTAGACACATATGACAACCAACAAAGAAAAAGAGATAAAAAAGTAGAACGATTGATACATGATTGCACATAAAAGTCAAACTAAAACACAATAACGAGTAATCTAAACAAAATAAGATATAAGGAAATAGTCTAAAGCTTGCCGCAAAGCACCGGCAAAAGTAATCACCATGAATGTGTCAGGTGGAAATAGTAAGAAGATATATGAATTATTTACTAATAAACTAGTGTTTTCTGAGTCTGTGTCGCAAAGGATGAAGACGACGATCCTGACTCGCCATCTCCTCATTAGAGAGAACGTCTCAGGTTACGTATGTAACCCTAGTTCCTCGATTGAACGAGACGCTGCGTCGAGAACACTAGGGGAACGCCTTCAGTGACCCACGCTCTGAATCACATGTGAAATCAGTCCAATAGCTGAGCGGTACGTCACGGCGGATGACGTCATGAGCGGGAAGCTATAAAAGCGCGTGCGTTGGAGCCAGCGTCAGCTTCTAGGAATGAAGCAAGCGCCGGCAGGGACGCCGGAAGTATGGCACCGAGACGCAGCGTCTCGTTCCCTCGAGGAACTAGGGTTACATACGTAACCTGAGACGTTCCTCTTCAGGAACTCGAGCTGCGTCGAGAACACTAGGGGAACGAGAATGCCCACGTCGCCAGACTTCAAAATCTCTGCCTAGTGTGGAAGACTGCACAGCAAGGGCGAGAGAACAAAAGAGCCCGGAGTGGCTAAAGTAGGCGGGGCGCATCTTTACGGTTTATGTGTTACGGGGCTGACGAGACATGAGACGTGCGGATCCAAATGCAAGGCTTTATTCATAGACATGGTTAGAGACAGGCAAGGGTCAGATAATGGCAACTGGGTATATAGAGGGCAAGACACAAGAATATACCTAGGGCTAGCATGGGTCTACGATCGGCGAACAGAATTAACTAGAGGGGTAAATCCAAGTACAATGCAAAGGTCCAGGCAGGGGCAAACAGTATCTGAATAGGGCAAGACGAGAGGGGGAATCCAAGGTACACAGGCAAAGATCAGGATACGAGAAAACAGACAAGGCAAGATTAAGGTAAGGCTATGAAAACTAACGAGCTCCGTAGAATAGCTGTCGCTAGGTGAGTGATATACGCTATACCGCTCCGCGATCTGAACAGGAACTGAGTGGGTGTTAAATAGAGTGTGTAATGGCTCTCAGGTGAGCGTGTGATTAGTGAAGGCTGTGTGATCAGTGAATTCAGCTGTGTAAGTGCAATGGATGATGGGAACTGTAGTCCGGAGTGACATGTAACAGTCTGTGTAGTGTGAGAGTCAATGTAATGGTAGAGTGATCTCTAGTGGCAATCGGCCGCGGACCAGATTTGTGACATTATGATTATAATGAAAGAGTTTTTGTTTTCAATTTGATTTGTTTCATTAAGTAGTAATTTAAAGCTTTCTATAGATATATTTATCATGTCTGTGAGGCATGTATTCGCTGAGTTTCGGTTCATTTTTGTGAAGCACTCCTGTTGAAGACCGAGACGGCAGAAAGCGCATCATATTTTTTTCTTTATTTTATAAAAGCACAACGTTTTGTTGATATTTTGAGTGCACACAAATAAAAGTAGACTCTTTACAGCTACGAATTATGTATTACTCTTATCTTTATGAGCAAAAATGACGGCGTATCCACTGAAAAAAATGCGAGCGATCGCGCTGGCGCCTTCATGTCCTGCAAAGCGCACTTTAGCTTGTACTCTCCACGCAAACTATTGGATACAGCGCACATTTATCTAGGTTTAGCGTTTAAACATTGTTATATGCTTGAACTGTTTTATATCTATAGATTTTATTTTAGGCAAGTCGTGATGATTTGAGAAGGCTAAATTGATCAAACATAGGCTCACTGTCTGCCGCTGGCCACTTGGTCGTTACTTTAAAAAAAAAAGCTGAAACAGTAGTATAAGCCGTTTTGGGAGAAGGGAGAAAAAAAGATGGGTAATTATGGTAATTCTGATAAGCTGTCGGACAAGGGCCTATATTTGAGGCCCGTGCAGGGCCCTAATACAGTCCTCTGGACTACATGACACAGATTGACCAGGAGGGGTCAGTGTTTTGCTGCGCAAATGACCAGTTTATGTCTCATTCAATGCCATCACAAGCTGATGTGTAAATGATTGTAAATGAACAGATCTGATGCGTAACTCTGGAGACTTTGCTGCAATTTCACTCGTGTGCCATTTCACGGTCCCTCTGCTTATTTTGTGCCGTCTTCATTAGATTAAACCAACACTATTGTCTGTGCAATTATTATTATGCATTATTAAATAAGCTAATTAAAATGAAAAAAATGTAGGAACAATAGTAGACGACATGTTTTCATCCGTTCTCCTGGATGTGGATGTCTTCAGGAATGTGTCTAAAGGTGTATAACAGTTCATTCTTGATGATGATCTCATTTTAGTTATATTTATATATATATTAGATTATATCAGGCAACCATAAGCTGTTACCCTAAATTGCCTATATAATGACAATATATGTCTATTTATATAATCAAATGATCATATATCATAAAACAAAAAAATTACATTAATAATTATAATAATATACAATTTTAGTATGCAATAATTATATTTTTCATTATGCATAACTATTATTTTATATATAATGTAAAATATTTATAATATTATTTATATATAAATGTTTTAATTTGTGTATGTATAATTGTGCATTTTTTTTTGTTTGATTTAGAAATGTTATGTAAAAATGTATGTGTGTAGCAGTATAGTAATAATCATTTATATACACACATTCAACATCATATTTCTGAGTCAAATAAAAAGTATACACTAATATACATACACGTACATTATATGATATTTGAATATGATATATTAAATAGTATTTATATGTAATGCTACTACATAGTTTATATATTATGTATAAAATAATAAAGTTTTACCCAGATTTTTTTTTTTTGCATGTGTGTGTTATGTATTATTAAAAAATATTATTTAAGTATTTATTGCATATATTGTAAAATCAAAGGCTTGACTGTTCACTGACATCACAGGGATTTTGCAGTGGCCTCATCTTGGAAGAATGTGACATTCCTGATCTTTGTCCTTTCTAATGTCCTGACAGGAATGCCAGTCACGGATACCAGAAACCACTGAGCTGTGAACAAACGTCCTGACCTCATTTATGTTTCAGAAATATGGTTTCAGAATAAATGATTACCTACTAAAATCATCAGAAAACGACTTCAGCAATAGCTGGAATTCCTCTGCTCAGAGCTCATCTTATATAAGAGGAATCAAAGGGTTGGACATTAACAGTATGTTTTCTGTCAGCAGGTTTTGATTGCTTTATAATGAAGTGGTTATTTTAGTAGATACCAATAGCAGTTTTGCATGTGGGTGTCATTTAGAGACTTTAATCGCAAAGCTCGTGTTGATCTTTATCTAAATTTAATCTATATTCTAAAGACTGAACGAACAGAAGTTGGTTTGTTTTGTGAGAACAGGATGAACTGTACTTTCAGTTCTGTTGGATTGTTTGCCGGTTTGTCACTAATGGACAGGAATTCTGTTCTTTTCCTCTTTTCTTTGCGTTGGCAGAGGTGACGTTTGCTCGTAACTCTCAGCAGAGGAATTCTGCTCCACTCGGGTGTTTGGATGCGTTTAGTACTCGAGGTTTGTGCCTCATCACATGCTGTTTGTTTCAGCCGCTGAGTGTCTGGGATCGGGATTAATCGGGACTGTTTCTAAAGGCAGAGGGAGAAAGACACAGCTGTCGTGCAGTTTCTTCACGTATGCAGATTGTCATCTTTCCATAATCCTTCCTAATCCCAATTTATAAATAATGATCACAAACAAACATGAGTGATAGTAAGTGCTAACAATGAATTCTAATTAGTGACGTTAATCACTAGTGCGGTATGAACTGTTTGAAAACAAACTTCAGTGTGTCCTGCAGCGTGATAGATAGACAGACAGACAGACAGATAGAGATAGATAGATAGATAGATGACAGACAGACAGATAGATAGATAGATAGATAGATAGAGAGACCGAGAGCTAGATAGATAGATAGATAGATAGATAGAGAGACCGAGAG